TTGTCCGAACCGGTCATGCCATCTGAAATCCCCAAAATCAGCACCAAACTAGAGGAGGTTTGCGACAGGCCGAACGTCCGCATGTCGGATTTCGGAACCCCGGCCAACCCAAAAATCCTATCCAAAGATCTCATTCTTTCACTTCATCCAACCCCATGTGCTTTATATTCACGCTCCCAGACTCCGGCATCGTTGTTTTACCACTCCGAACGTTGCCAAGACCTTGTCGGCTCCACCCAAGTGGTCGCCCAACTTTGCCTACGCCGTCGTTCCGCCCACGATCCAGTTGCCTTTCAGGTAGCCCCGATCCATTACGGACACCACACCCGGCGAGTCTTAAACCAAAGGCATAGCCAAAAAAATTGACGCTCTCATTGTTTACTTTGAAGCAAACACGCTGGATTTGAACAAGGATTACTTCTACGAGTTCATGGATTCGCCGGATGATGATCAAACGACGATGATGAGAGCGATTCTTAAAGACACATAGCATGCGGCGGAGCATGCTCTCGACTTCAAGGGTTCGGCACCGGGACATATGATGTTGCATGACAACTACTTTCAAACGCATCTACCAAGGTGTCAGGGCCTATGATAATTACTTTAAAATTGAAGAAGGATGTCGTTAGAAACATTGGGTTCTCTGGTTACCCCAAGTGCACGACTGTTATGAGGTTGCTTTTCTATGGCATGGTCGCAAATTTGTTGGATGACTACCTCCGGATGTCTAAAAGCACATGTATCTAAGCCATGATCAAATTTCTACTGTAGAAATCAAGGTGTTTGGACCAGAGTTCTTATAAGAACCAAATGTCACATACATAACAAGGCTCATAGCACTTGAAGAATCAAGTGGGTTCCCGGGTATGCTCGGAACACTAGATTGCATGCACTGAGAATGGAAGAACTATCCATATGCTCAATGGGAGCAATACCAGGGCCATTGCAAAAAGAAAAAAAACACCGTCATTCTTGAAACAGTTGCGTCACAAAGATATTTGGCACTCTTTTCTTTGACATGCCTAGGTCTCACAGTGCATCAACGTGTTGCAAATGGTATCTTTTGTTTGCAAGGTTGTGTGCGGGGCGAAGTCCTTGCGTGCAACTATACCATAAAATGGTCATGATACAACATGGGTACTATCGTTTTGATGGTAGCTAACCTTCGTGTGTGACATTCGTCAATATCATCTATGAGCTGAGAGGTAACAAAAATATCACTTTACCCAAAACACAAGGACCTCAAAAGGATGTGGAGGGGGCATTTGAAGTCCTCCAAGGCCGTTTTGTAGTTGTTCGCAGACCTGCTAAACTATGAGAATGCAGAGACATTGTGGTAGGCGATGACAACTTTGTGCGGTCATGTGCAACATGGTTGTGGAAGATGAGGGCGAGGGAGTTCGCCAAGGTCTGGAATTTCAAGACATGGGTGAATGCAAAGCTTTTCTTGTGGAGCAGAATTCGACGACGTTTCATGATTTTCTCCAAGTGCGTCATCAGTTTCTTAGTCGAGGAAATCATGTGCAGTTTCATAATGATTTGATCGAGCATCTGTGGGCATTTCATATTGATAAATAAAACATTTATCCGAATAAGTTAAATTCAAGTCTGAACTATTTTATTACAAAAATTTGTGTTTGAATTGTAATTTTTATGTTTGAATTATTGTTGCACTGAAATATCCATCTTTCTATTATCAAAGAATTGTGATATTTATTTATTTATTATTTTTCAATACTCTAGGCATAGGAAAAATAACTGAGTGGCCCGACACTAGATGAGTAGGGTTGGGTGGCCGATGTCTTTCCCGCTATCCGCAGACACATTTAGTGCCATGTGGTTCCGCGTTGGAGTTGCCCTTATCTTACTTTGCAACATATAAAATTGTTGAGGTGACGGAGAAAACCAAAGAAAATGTCTGCCTTTCTTAATTAAGATATGATATTGTAGCACGATATCTCTCACCACATATTTAGATATATCTAGTTACTAGAAATAGAACTAAGAGATAACCCATTGTATATATATTTGTATTGTTATCTCTAAATTGCATCTTAGAGTTAAAATAAAATCGCCTGTCAACCACTGTATATGACTTTAGGGCATTTTTATTACTCAAAGGAGCCTATTTAAAGAAAACATATTAGGATGTGTTATAAGATGGTCTTATCTCGCGTCACCCACATATCTGAATAAGTTTACAGTGGGATTGTTTGTTATTGTTATGTCTAATATTTTTTGGAATTAATGAGCTCAAAGACCCCAAATTTCACTGCTTATGAAATTGACAAAACATCATTCTGCTCTCACATCTTCATCTATTAGACGACACACAAGCATATCATTTGTACAGCCCACACAAAAAAAACATGCACAAAATAGGAAATCCAAGACATAGTTCTAGTTGAAAAACTCTTACAACTCCAAGCCATACATCTAAAACAGGGAAATCACATAAACGAAAGTATGCACGACAACTGCTTAGATCATCAAAGGCTCAAAGAGCCATCCCAGAGCTTTTTGGTCTTTCATCTTTCAACCCTGTGCACACATGGTGCCCAGCCAAAACTCTTGTGGGACAGTTTAGTTGCCACCAAAAGTAACCTACTCTATTCATGTCACATATAAAACCCCGATAATTAATGATTGCATTATCCTATATTTGTGGGGTGAAGGTAACCTCTTTTTTCTTCATATACTTGTCTCTCTTCCAACTCAACAATTATATTTGGTGGCACTCCTGCTCTTATATGCATGTTTTTTAGTACTATGCATAGACTCAGATCTTTGGAAGGAAAAAAAAGAATGTCCAAGATGCCATAATTCTGATTTTTTTTAAATCAATACTATCAAGTAAGGCTTCTAAAATTTGATTACAAACATGTCCAAGATGCCATGTTTTCAGGAATTGATGGGACCAGTAACCTAGCCACAAACATGAATCCCTAAACCATACTCCCTCCGTCCGGATTTATTGGGCTTCTTAGCCAAATCTGCAGGACCAAAGGAGCCTCGTATGAAGAGATCCTACTCCAATAATTAGCAGGCGTTAATTATTACCGAGCATTTTGGAAAGCACAAAGTTAATTCCCCTCCTTTGGGCTACGCAGGGACGCATGCACATGCATTAATCCCAGCCGCATGGGCCCATGCATGCCCAATCAAAAAAGGATGGAAATGCATGGATTGGCTAGTCTAGCCAGGCTGTTCCATTTTAATTGCACCAACCTGTAATTACGTTAGTTTCTCTTGTCAAGAATCGAGGAACGACTCATTGGTTCCATTTACAGGCCTCAGAAACAGGGACGCGCTAGTGTTGCTAAGAGGCACAATAAACCCGGACGGAGGAAGTACTAGCAAAGGCTCATTTAGACCATTTAGTTGTCAGCCGGTCCTTTTCGTGTTCTTCAATGCTCATGAAACTAGGATGGGTGGGTGCGCGCCCGCACATGAGGATGGGGCAGATCTTTTAATATCCACCGAGCTTCAATTAGTTTCGTTCTGTATCACTGAAGTTTTATTCGCAAAAAGAAAAGCTCTCGCTCCGACCCAAAATTTCAGTTCAAAAATTGAACTAAAATCACGACACTTAATTTTGGACCGGAGGAAGTATATACTAAAGTTTATATACGACACTTGTTTTACAGAAAGACTGTTTGGCTTGGTGCAGAAAATTGGCTACCAACATAACTGGCCAACCATTCGAAACTAGTCCCCCCGTTACAAAACCATCTTTTGGGCAAATTTTGGAGCTGCCAAATGTTAGCACGTACTACGGTGAAAAGCAAAGCTGGCCAGCTAACAACCATTGGCCTGTGTTTGTTCTCACCTTGCTTGGAGAAGGTGGGCGCTCTTCAACGTGACGGATGCTAGCAAAGCAGAAGGGCAAAAGATAAGAGGATGAGGTCCATCATCTCTGTCTGTCGTGCCAAATGAGGGATTATCGTTGGCAAACCAGATAGGCATGTTTTGTTTTGGCTTTTCATTACGGGTGAGCAGTCGCTGCGGCCGATAGCAACGGGGGGCGGCACGAAAGCCATCTGCCAAAAGGAAAGCAAAGAATTGAATCGTGATCACCAAAAAAGAGAAGGAAAGAATTGAAAGCCGGGGCCACCCAGCAGCGAGAGGGCGCAGAGGGAGCGAACGCACGCACGCAAGCCGCACATGCTCGACGACGGAACGGAAGGTTCTGTCACCATTCCGTTGCGGGGGCAGAGAGAGAGAGAGAGAGATTGACGGATCATGAGGACCGAGCTGTCCGTGGGCCTGGGCAACCACCGCCACCACCATCGCGACGCTTGACCGAATCAAATCGAAACCAGTGGCCCCGCGCGCGCCCGTCCTCCCCCTCAGACTAGACTAGTCCCCTCGGCCCACCGTAGCCTAAACCAAACAGACCCCCCACCGGAGTAGACTGGACCAGCCGATGCCGCGTCATTATTGGGTCGCTAATCACTTTTGTTTAGGGAGCGCTAATCACCTTTTAAGGAGCGCTAATAGTATACTAGACTAGTAGTCGTAGAGTACAGGTCAGGGGAGGTGGCGCCGCCGCGAAGCAAACTCAGCACGCCAGCATGTCGCCCGAGTAAGACCCGCCTCCCGAATTGACCCTCCTGCCCCTCGCTCCCCCGCCCAGCCCCCCGCCCGCCCACGCTCCCAGGCGAGGGCGAAACGGGCATCCCGCTCGGGGGCCCAGTGGTGGTACTATCGACCCGGCCTTTTTTCTCGGCGACCAACGCACGCACGCGAGCGAGCTGCTCGAGGGAGAGAAAAGTAGCCAGCCAGCCAGCCAGCCAGCAGACAGAGGCAGCGGCGAGAGCGAGCACAGCCGCGGAGACAGACAGACGCACGCACGCCACGCCATTACAAATCGCCCCCAGCGAGCGAGCCGAGCACCAAACCCTACCCAACCTCCACCTGCCAGCCAGCCCTCCCGCGGATCCCCGCCCTCGGCTCGCGTCTCGTCTCGCCGGTCTTTTTTTCTCTCCCGCCGCCGCGCCATGGAGGTGAGTGATTTTTGCCGCTCTTGCTTTTCCGTGCGGCGCCGTCGTCGTTGTTTTTCGGAGTGTGTCGGTCGCTGACGGGCCGTGGGTTGTGGTTGCAGGAGGGGAGGAGGGGGACGAGGACGGTGCGGGTGCGGAACATCTCAGATCTGGCCGGGGAGAGGGAGGTGCGCGAGTTCTTCTCCTTCTCCGGCGAAATCGACCACGTCGACATCAGGCCGTGAGCGCCCGCTCCCTTCCTTCCTGAATTCCCCTCCCCACTTGTGTCCCGTCTGTCTAACCGCATTGCGATTCTGGGCTTGCTGCTGCAGTGACGGGGCGGCGGCGGGGAGGACGGCCTACGTCACCTTCAAGGACGCCAAGGCCCTGGAGATCGCGCTGCTGCTCTCGGTATGTATGGCCTTGCCCAATCATCCGATGCTTACTTTCGTCTGCGCAATCTGGTTGTGCTGCTGTTGTCAATTGCTATCTACAATGAATGATTTCGTGTGCTGTCAATGTCAATGTCATCGTGAACTGTAAATAGTGTGGTAGGTATACGCAGCTGTTATGGCTTTTGCATTGGACCTAATTTTTTCCCCATCGATATCAGTATTGAAGTGTGTTTTTCTGGAAAGGAAATTTATCTCCATGATAAATTGCACTTGGGGACAGTTGACATGGATGTAGAAATTAGGAGGAATAGAAATCTTTCACTCTAATCGTTTTGCCCTCTTGTGGCATTCTGTTTGCACTGTGAGCTTTTTTCACAATAGATGAACATGACCAAACTTAGGAAGGAATTGGAAACCACATTTGAATTTCATTGCTTTTAAATCATTTGGTAAGATATGCTGTATTGTCATGTCCATCAACTGGCAATATGATGGAATGGCAGTTGACACCGCTACTTGTTTGTTTGTAAAATCTGTAGAGGCCATTGACCATGTTTGAGTAAAGAAGAAGGAAATTAGTATTTTAATAATGGCTGCTTTGATTGCCACAGAAGTGTGCTGCATAATATACTACGAGTTTGCCGTTGCAATTCTTTGACTTCGTGATCTTTTTTTGTCCTTTGAAGTAACTAGCATGCCAGTCATTTCTTTATGTGCACATGTCCTTGCTCCAATCAAGGGGCCTTCCAGGTTGACAGGTCTCCAGTGAATTTTTGTAGTTGTATATTAGCTCTGTGTCTATTTCACTGTTTTACACATCACCACGTTCCATATATCTGCATAACTGCAAAACAAATAAATGTTGATAAGCTTCCCCATGCATGATAGTGTGAAACATTATAAATAATATATATTCTATTTCTTTTTCAGGGAGCAACAATTGTGGATCGAGTTGTGAACATAACCTCTGCTGAAGATTACATCTACATCCCTGTTAATGAACAGGTGCACTATTCAACGAATTAATGTTACATAAATGGCAGTACTCTATTCGTCCTTTTTTCATAGAGAGGTCCATTTTGAAATCATGCAGCAACTTGTGGTGAATGAGGCGACAAGTACAGCTCCTACTGCAGATTTGGAACAACCTACTGAGGTGCCTTTGAATTCCAGTACATTTATGTTTCTTTCGTTTCTCTTTGTAATATCACCTACACCCCATCAATCACGGGCCACTGTGTGGAAATCTGCCCCAAATAAAAATGAGAAAAATGAGAACTTTGGTTTATCTGCTTATATGTTACTGTAGTGGATCATCCTTGTTACTGATTACTCAAGTATGACCCTACCATGTAGGCCAACACAAGCCCCACTAGTGTTTATGCCAGCAAGGCTCATGATGTCATGACAACTGTCATCGCAAGGGGTTCAGCAATTCGACAAGATGCTGTGAACAAAGCTAAATCATTTGACGAGAAGCATCAGTTAAGGGCTAATGCATCAGCTAGGATCAGTTCCTTTGATAGGCGTGTTGGCCTTTCAGAGAAGTTAAATACTGGGATATCAGTCGTAAATGAAAAGGTGAAGACTGTGGACCAAAGGTTACATGTTTCTGACAAAACAATGGCTGCTTTGCTGGCTGCAGAGCGCAAGCTAAACGATACAGGCTCTGCTGTGAAAACTAACAGGTCTCTTCTTTTACATACCTTTGCCATTGTTCACTTAATCAATTTGATGTGTGTTTTTATATCAGCTCGCGATTTACCTATGTCCTGTATGGCTGATCCTTCGCCCTCATTTCCCCTGCTTGTAGGTATGTGTCTGCTGGAACAAGCTGGCTGAATGGTGCCTTCAGCAAGGTTGCCAAGGCTGGTCATGTTGCTGGCTCAAGAACAAGAGAAAAGTTCCAGATAGCTGTGTCAAATATATCAGCCAAAGTAAGTCAGTAATAAATTTTACGGGAAATTTATGACCAGAAAGATAAGCAGTGTTATTAAAGACATGTAGCAATTCTAAGAGCTGCCTTCTGCACTATTTCTTGTTGTCTAAACTGTGACGAAGCAGAACTTTATTTGCATTATTGCTGTTATAACCAGTATGCCCAATAGCATACCATTGCACCATCCTGCTGCTGCCAGCGCACAGGTGATTCAACTTTGGGAGCTAACCGATCATAGTTCTAAACTTCAAGCATTACACGCAATTTGTTTCCATTAGGTGCTACCCTGTTCTCCTGAACAAATGTGCTTTTTTTTTGCGACTGGAACAAATGTGCTTTTGAAAAGCCATTTTTAAGTGAATCCACCATATGCACATTTTTTTTCTCTCTAGGATATATTTTGTCAAAAACAGTGTGGTTTATTTGCAAGCTTATTTGTGTCACAACACTGTTTGTTGCTTCTCATGCTCTAATTCAATGTTTTTCCCTCTTTTGCTGAAATAGGGGCCAGCTGTCGTTGCTTGAGTTTGTTCTGGAGCTCCTCTTCCTGGGGAAAATCTGTTGGAAACCTTGAGCAAGCACCTTCTGTTGGTTGTGTCATCAAGCTGTGGCTTGTAACTGTGTATTTCTCTGTTTTTTTTTTCTTCTTCTTTGAGGAGGTTTTAACTTTCAGGGAGTTTGTCAGATTTGGTACATAGAGGATCTAAATTTTCTTTAGAATTTTAGAACCACTATTCTTTTTAGTGTCGGTGTTCAATTGATTATAGGTGGCAGTGGCACTTTGGACCATGTTTGGTGTGGTTTCATGATTGTCATTGATGGCCCATGTGTCATGTTTCTGCTTCTGCAGAAATTGTCACTCAAATTGAGTAATTTGGAACATATGGAACTGCAATGCTTCTTTGTGTACACATTCATCTTATGCAGTTAGTATGCATTTAAGTTTCAGTGCAAGCATGTCATATTTACGATATATTTTGTGATTATTAATTTGATTAGATTGCTTTGGAACAACACACCATTTTTCTTCTGCTCCAGTAATCTGTCACATTCAGATCGTTATGAACTTAGTGCACCCTTCCTTTTGAATGCTTACAGTAGTGTGAACTTATTAGTAAAGAGTGCTCAACTGCCCATGCATAATAAGTTTCTTCGAATAAGTACTCAATCCGATGTGGCAATTATGTACTTATTCCTTCCAGTTGCCGCCCTTATTCGTTCTCTTGTGTTTTCTAAGTTTGCGGCAGCGTTCTGCTGAATTAACGATGGTTGCAACGGATTATCGATATGCATTTGTTTTTTAGTTGTTGGGGACAGGTAACCAGTGTAAAAAGGGAAAAATGGAAGTCCAACGTCGATCTTGTTGGCTTAGAGTATCTCTAGCAGACCCCTTATATCCCACTAAACTGTAAAATAACCATCAATTTTCAAAACAACCATCAATTTTCAGTTTTGAACGGAAAAAGTAGCCCGAACAGACATCTTATACACCTTTGACCTTTAATTTATTTTAAGGGGTGCGGTAAAAAGCTCCCACGATGCAAAAACATAGTTTCCGCGTTAGTTTCTACGGTGCCCTGTATTAGGAGAAAGCAGTTGGCGGGAACCCAACTGCTACGGAAACATCTCCATGACCCGTCCGTGCCGCCACGGACGTCGGCCACCCGTCCCCGGCCGCCGCCCGCTGCCCGCAACAAAGGAGCTAGCTAGATAGCTACCAGGAGCTAGCTGCGGCGATGAAGGAGCTAGCTCAGCGGTGATGGACACTCGAGGCGCTTCGTGCGAGCCGTCCTTAGACGCTGGCGGCTACGGTATTTGGCCGCTTCGTGCGCTGTTCGCCGGCTTCGTAGGAGCGAGTTAACTGACCGTGGACACGGACAAGAGAAAGAAGAAGACGTGGGAAATAAAAATTTAAACAAATATTCGGTTTTACAGTTTAAGTGTGAGGGGTCTGTTCGGCCGCAGCTCAAACCGACCATAAAACGCATTTTCCGCGAACTGAAAACGGCGCGTTTTCAGTTTCGTGGTCTAAGGGTCTGCTAGAGATGCTCTTATGCGCGCCTGAGTAACCACAAGCCAGCCACAACGAAAATGGCCCCGACCACTTCAGACTTCAGCACCCACACCAGCAAGAACCACCCATATCGATACCCCGCCGCCGTTGTAGAGGCGACCGATGAGGGTTGACGCCGGCAAACATCTCCATCGTCCAGTCCTTGCTTGAGCGAGCCAAGGGCGCGCCTGTGAAGATAGCCAACGTATCCGTGCGAGCTAGCTTCCTTCTAGGGTCTGTTTATCCGGAAAAAAAGAAGGCATGTTTCGCCACACGTCCCCAGGTGTGTGTTCGGACCGTCCCATATTCGCGGGTATCTGGTTGGATGGCTAATTTTGGTCCGGGCAATGACCATACTCTGTCCGCTGAAATGCTTGAGAAGAAGGATTTGAGCGGTCCGATTGCTGGTGCTCTCACCATAACAATATGACATAATTAAAAAAAATGGATTACAATATGACACATCCAGCCTGGGTCAACTACGGGGTTGTGTGGTGACAGCGTGCTGCTGAAATAACAATGTTTTTTTTAGAGAAGGCCGTCATGACTAGCTTTATTAACTTAGATAGGAATTACATCATCCATAAGTTTTGAAATTAGACATCCTGACCATTCATTCGTCCATGTACTAGAAGTCTTATTACAAAAACTATAATTGGCTAGCACATGAGCCACTTGATTTGAATTACGAAAGCAATGCTTAAATTTGACCTTCCCAATCAAAACTGAAACATCCACACATTCAGCAAAAATTGCAGCAGCTTCATCCCACCATCTTGATTGCCCCTCACATGCTTCAATCACGATCAATGAATCCGATTCCGCCTCAACTCGTGGGAATCCCAAAAAAGTTTGCAAAGTTTAGTCCATCCCTCAATGCTTGGGCTTCAGTGGTAACCACGCTAGAAGCATAAGGAATGAAAATACATTGTGCTGCTAGAAAGATCCCTCTATCATCTCTAATCACCGCTGCTGTGGCACCAGCACCTTCTTTAGCATGAAAGGCAGCGTCTACATTCAGCTTTACAAATTTGGGGTCAGGTTTCTTCCATCTCTCTTGCACAACTGAACTCTTCTTTACGTTAGCCTGCTAAAAATTGTTAGCAATAGCAAGGATAGACATAGGCCATTTAAACGGTGGTGGAGGAGAGCCACCGTGAGTAAATTGGCGCCCGATCCACCATATGTACCAGCCCCCGTCCGAACTACTTGCTTGATATTCAGACTTGGTTTCAGCGGGACCATGCTTGTTGGGGCTATCAGAAAATGTTCTAGGATCACAGATCCTGAGCGATCTACAATCTTTGCCTCATTAATAACGTATGAGATACCAAGACGACTCCAAAGCTTGGTCGCATGTACACAATCGAACAAAAGGTGCTTTACATCCTCAGCCCCGTGATGGCATATCGGACATGATCCATCTGTACCCACTTGCCTGTTGGCGAGTATAGATTTTAGGGGTAAAATTCCATGCAGAGCTCGCCAGCCAAAAATTTGAATTTTACGTGGTATTTGAAGCTTCCAAAGGATGCTCCATACTATTATAAATTTTAGGGGTGCTGGACCTCCCTGGCTGCGATAATATATTCGCTTGTGCTCTGTAAGTATGTGTCCACTGTGTATGATAAGCAGAACGAACAGAGAAAATTCCTTTTCGGTCCGGATGCCAAGCTATGAAGTCATCAAAAGCGCTGTAATTCAGTGGTATTTCCATGATCCTGCATACATCTACAGGGTTGAAAATAGTTCTAAGCAATGCTTTATCCCAGTTACCACTCGTGGGATCAACTAGATCATTGACAGTATCTAGGATGCTATGACCTCGCGGAGATATAACCTTCCTGTCAGCACTTCCTGGAATCCAAGGGTCGCTCCAAATGTTTACATTTCCCCCCTACCAATAAGCCATATATACCCTAGCTTAAAAGTTTCCAAACCCTTCATGATACTTTGCCAAGTGGAAGAAGCACCATTTTTCAGAATGGCTTGCAGCTGTAAGCTTCCATTAGGGTAATATTTTGCCTTTAGCACTCTTGCACACAATGATTCTGGGTTAGTAAGGAGTCTCCAACATTGTTTAGAAAGCATTGCCAAATTAAAAGAATATAGGTCTCGAAAACCCATTCCACCTTCACTTTTAGAAATAACAATGGTTAGATTGGATCATGGACGTCGACGCGCATATTTTATGGGTTAGTTCTTGGGCAGGTAACCAGCATCGATCCTTTTGCTTTACTCGAACGCGCGCTCCGAGTAACTAACTAGAAGCCACAATCAGTAGCCAAGTTAGTACCACTCTCCAAGAAAGAACATGGCCTCTACCACTAGCAGTAGCAGCACGACGAGCAGCAGCCAGAAGCTGCGTGTCCTGCTCATCCCCTTCTTCGCGACCAGCCACATCGAGCCCTTCACCGACCTCGCCCTGCGCCTGGCCGCGGCGGCTGACCCCGGCGCCGCCGTAGAGGCGACCGTCGCCGTCACGCCGGCGAACGTCCCCATCGTCCGCTCCTTGCTCGAGAGGCGTACGCATGACGCAGCCGGATCTGAGGGCACGCCCGTCAAGATAGCGACGTACCCGTTCCCGGCCGTGGACGGCCTCCCGGGGGGCGTCGAGAACCTCGGCAAGGCCGCCCCCGCCGACTCGTGGCGCATCGACGCCGCCGCCGTCAGCGACGCCCTGATGCGCCCCGCGCAGGAGGCGCTCATCAGGGAGCAGTCCCCGGACGCGCTCGTCACCGACCTGCACTTCGTCTGGAACGTCCGCGTCGCCGAGGAGCTTGGCGTGCCGTGCGTCAGGTTCAGCGTCATCGGCGCCTTCTCGTCGCTCGCCATGCGCCACCTCGAGCTCCTTGCCCCGGACGTCGCCGGCGGCGACCCCGACCCCGACGTCGTCGCCGTGGTCCCTCGGTTTCCGGGCCCTCCGTTACGGATACCGAGGACCGAGCTGCCGGAGTTCCTGAGGAGGAAAAAGGAGGTCGATTGCTCCACGACAAACCCCTTCTACGCGGCGCAAGCCGACTGCTTCGGCCTCGCCATCAACACATTCTCGGACCTGGAGCAACACTACAGCGAGATGAACATGCGCGAAGGCTACGTGAAGCGCGCCTACTTCCTAGGGCCTGTCTCGCCGCGGCCATCACCGGCAGCCGTGGGCGCCGGCGGCGGCGGTGGCTGCATCGACTGGCTTGACTCGAAACCAGGCCGCTCGGTGGTGTACGTGTGCTTCGGCAGCTTCGCGCCCGTCTCGGACGCCCAGCTGCGCGAGCTGGCTCTCGGGCTGGAGGCCTCGGGAAGGCCGTTCCTGTGGGTGGTGAGGGCGGAGAAGTGGACTCCGCCGGAGGGATGGGAGGAGCGTGTCGAAGACAGGGGGCTGATGGTCACCACCTGGGCCCCGCAGACGGCTATACTGGGGCACCAGGCGGTGGGCGCGTTCGTGACCCACTGCGGGTGGAACTCGGTGCTGGAGACGGTGGCGGCGGGCGTGCCGGTGCTGACATGGCCGCTGGTGTTCGAGCAGTTCATCACCGAGAAGCTGGTCACGGAGGTCCTCGGGATCGGGGAGCGGCTGTGGCCTCATGGCGCCGGCGTACGAAGCACGAGCTGTACAGAACACGAGCTAGTCCCCGCCGAAGCTGTGGCGCGGGCAGTGACCGCGTTCATGGCCCCTGGAGGACCAGCGGACGCGGCGAGGGGCAGGGTGATGGACCTCGCCGCAAAGGCTCACGCAGCCATGGCGGAAGGAGGCTCATCGCACCGTGATCTGCGGCGTCTGGTCGATGATCTCGTGGAAGCAAGAAGTGCCGCTGGAGCGACCAATTAAGTCAGTTCAGGCACCCATTGAAAGCCCCTTTCATGTTTAGTGCCTAGTTACTACAGCTCAATGTTGTCATGGACTCGTGGCATCTCGGATGTGCCTACTTAAGTTTGTAAGTACAGTTTTTCCAGCAGTAGAAAAAATCCACGCTTGAATTTTACCGTGCACAAAGTGTTGGGCTGTAAACATCTTCCGTTTTCTACTACTTGGATAAGAGCATGTTTTGGACAGTTGAAAAGAACAACGGCGGGTCAGACTATTTTTAACATAGAATCGTCTGTTATTTCATAAGATAGATACTTCGTAGATAGAAACAGACATGTATAGGTATTTGCTAGCGTATAAGAGCATCTCCAGCCGCGTAAAGCATGACGCGCTACAAAAGCATTTACGGCGTTGTAGTCATGAGATTTTGGGCGGCGAGGAGCGCTTACTCTAGCGCCCGCTGCAAAGTATAGCGCGCACGAGCCGTTCTAGCAGCCGCTGCAAAAAAAACTGCGCACGCGCTCTAGCACAAACAATATATGCACTCCAAACATAACCAAGGAGATCAAATACAAACAAAATAAATCAACAATAAATAGTTTAATTTTATTACAATTCAAACAAATAGTTCATCTTGCAATACAACAAATAGTTCAACAATATACAACATCAAACATACAAGTCATGATGCTCTTTGTCAGCCATTTCATGCCCGTCACTCCTCGATGAGATCCTTCTGAAGACCATCACGCGTTTCGGCACGCCGAATGACATGATAGAAGGCAACAAATCGGGCCACCCTCACAGCCCTCCGTCGCACTCGCACGGGATGTCCCAAGAGCTCATACTGAGAGTAGTCTAAATCTTGGCCATGCTTATTCTCGATCATCATGTTGTGCATGATCACACAAGCGTGCATGATGTACCAAAACATCTTTTGATCCCAAAATCTAGCCGGCCCTCTCAAAATGGCAAGTTGGGCTTGCAAAATCTCAAAAGCTCTCTCAACATCTTTCCAAGCCGCCGCCTGAGCATTGTGGAAATCAAGATTTTTCTTACCTTTCGGTTTTTTCAACGACTTCACAAATATTTGCCACTTTGGGTAGATGTCATCCGCAAGATAGTAGCCATAGTTGTATGTATGACCATTTGCTGCAAACTTCATCGGTGGCAGTTCACCATTTGCAATCTTATTCATGAGCGTTGATGTCATTCAAAGACCAGGCACTCCAAAAAAAGCATGCCAAATCCAAGTCTCTTAATCAGCCACCGCTTCAAGGATTATAGTGGAACCTTTTCTTGGCCGTGGAATTGGCCATGCCATGCCTTAGGACAGTTCTTCCATCTCCAATGCATGCAACCTATTGAGCCAAGCATACCTGGGAACCCGCGAGCTTTGTTCATCTCCAAAAGCCTTGCGACGTCTTCAACATTGGAAGATCTCAAATACTCTAGGCCAAACACTTGCACAATTCTGACCGCGGAGCGCTTGACACACATGATGGCTTGACTCTCACCCATGGCCAAGTGGTCATCAACTGGATCAACCAAAATATCGTATGCCAACATACGCAAAGCGGCTGTCACCTACTGAAAGGTGCTATGCGCGAGCTCTCCGTCGGCATTCCTCCTTTGCTGAAAAAACCGATCATGACTCGCCAGTTTCTCTGCAGTGCGTCTGAACAACTCGGTGCTCATCCTAATCCGGCGCCGGTAGTACGACTCAGGTACACGGGATTATCCACAAAATAGTGCCTCATCAATCTGTTGTCGGCATCGATCTTATCCCTCCAAATTTTCTGCCGACCCATAACCGAACCATCGTACTTCGTTTTTTATTGATGTGCATAGCTAGGATCATTGCAAGGTCCTCCTCTTCAATATCAAATTCTTCTTCGGAAGAATCATATGAGAACCCATCTACAATGTTGAATTTAAACTAGTCTATAAAAACTACAAAAAACATGCACCAAATTCATGTAAAAAATGTGAAGTTGAAGCAATACATACCTTGCAAGCGTTTTGTCGAACACCTTGTGGGCACCGAGCGACAGTGGGCGGCCGGAGGCTGTTCGTCGAAGGAATGACGCACGCGAGGGGCGGCGGCGACTAGAGGGAGACGGAGGAAGCAGCGGCGGCACAGGGAGAGGCCGGGGAAGCGTCGAAATGATCGCCGGAACAAATGGGATGGTGCGGGCGGCGGCGCCAGCGCCTGGGTTGGGCTAGGTGGAAGTCGCGAGCGGGCGCTCGAGTGTGCAGCGCGCGGGAGCGTGCGTAGCAACGCGCGATAGCACTTCGGACCGCGCGTTGAACTACTTATGCCGCGCGCACGGTTTTTGCGCCTTGCTGAGCTCTCGGAGCGGTTGCGCGCGCACAAAAAATTTAAAATTTACAGCGCGGCGATTATATAGCGCGGTTGTTGGAGATGCGAGAAGGGCGTGACCTAGATTGCATCGGAATAATAAATCTCACTGCGCCTCGCGCCGCCATTTGTGCTCGCCTCTCCCGAACGCAGCAGATCAGATCTCCCGCTGTCCACCTGCATGTCTGCTGTAATCCATGTGCTTGCGCTCGCCGCTCCCTCGCCCTGTCCAGGCGCAGGAGTAGACCCTTGGATCCGCTGGTAAATCCACAGATTCAGGTATTGTTCAGCGAAGCCCCCCCTCCGGCGCGCTCTGTAAAATTTGTTAGGTTTCACGTGTCTTGAGAGCAAGGCCAGGAGGCTTAAGACGGAGAGGATCAGATTATTCAGTTTGGAGTTAATTTGGAAAGGATGAATCCCCGTCGCTTTGTGAATCTTGTAGTGCATGACCGCAGCCGTTGCATCTACTCGCTGCACCGGCTGGACGCCATGAAGCACCTCTTCTACCCGTCAGCAGAAGCGCTCAAAGCAGCACAGGATGCAAGAACGACGACCAAGAAGAAACCATCAACGTTAGAGCGCCTGTCGGTTCTGCCGAAGCCGGAGATCAATTTTCATCCCAAGTGCAGTGTAACAGGTAGTAGTACGATCAGGGATTCCTTCTCTCTGCTCGGAAGAGACGGCATCGTCTTCACCGACTCCTCCGGCACGACGGCACTCTACAGCACCGTCAATGGCACCGTCGCGACCATCCCTCGCACCGCCCGTTCACTCACGGGCCCTTACTGCATGAACCTCCCCATGACCCAGGCCAACGATCCCGCCGACCGGACTGAAGAAGAGCGAGGATCTCTCTATGTCATGGACCTGTCAGAGCACGTCAGTGTAGACGATCGCTTCCAGGTCCTCGCCTGCCACCACCACGACGGGTGGCATTGGCGTGCTCTGCCGGCGCCGCCATACGTCTCTGGCTACCCTTACGACTTCGGAAGAACGACTTGCTACACAGTGGTCGACAGCTCCACCATCTGCATGTCCTCCAAGCAAGGGGGCTTCGGCACGTACGCCTTCGACACGGCGAGGAGCGTGTGGAGGCAGGTCGGCAAATGGGCCCTGCCCTGGTGTGGCAAAGCTGAGTACGTCCCTGAGCTCAAGCTCTGGCTGGGCTTCTCGCTCCCCGTCGGCAGCCCCCCCGTGGGCACCTTGATCTCGGCGTGCAGCCCCCCCTTTCCCAGGTTATGCGCCTTGGACCTCTCCGCCATGGACGGCGCGGAGCAGCCACCGGAGCCGCAGGGTATTTGGGATTTTCTTGACCTGCCCGAGGATAACAAGAGGAGGATGATGAGCGAGCTCCATCTGGTTAACTTGGGCTCTGGCATGTTCTGCATCGCCACGCTACTTAGGAACTTGTTGCGCGTACCTGCACCATACTTGCCACTGACCGACGATGAGGACGACTCGCCATGCATTTCAGATGAGGACAACATGATAGATCTCCTTTGCGACGAGATTGTTATCTTAACTGGAGTGAAGGTGGAGAGATGTTGCAACGACGGCGAGACTCCTCTTCAGATGATCAAGCACAAGTCTAGACGTTATGACTTAAAACAATATACCATGAAGTCCGTGCTCTAACCCTTTTTTTGGGGGTCAAACGGATGATATGCTATGTTATTTTCATGCAATGTACGAGACATTCAATGATTTCCTTTTTTCCTTTTAAGTTATTTTTGTTAGTTCGTTTAACCAACTATTATTGTATCCTTGCGTGTCTCTGGTTAATTGCCAGAGTTTCTGCTGCATATCAAAATGTCTATTGCGAGTAATAAACTATTAAAAATACATTTGAATGTCAAATGAATGAACTTGGTATCTGTGGTGCATTTCATATGATTGTAACTGTGCAGATGTCTTTACTCATATGAAAACTAAATCAAACATGCTGTTCATAGTACTAGTTCTTGTGATCAAAGTCCTTTAGCATTTCCTGAACCATTCACTACTCAAAAAGGCAGGAACTTCATAAACAAGGTCACTGACCTGATTGATCCTGCTACAAATACCTGGGATGAAGACCTAGTGAAACAAACCTTTCTACGAGAAGATGCAAAGGTTATATTGCAAATTCCAATTCAAGGGCAATGGCGCCTGGCCGGAGCCAAAGCTATAGAGCCCCCGTTTGGGGATCGTGTTGTGCGATAAAACACCAGGACAGGACCGAGGCCGTGGTGCGGCCCCCTCGATTTCCTTTTCTCTTCGTCTCTTTTTGTTCTGTTTGGCCCCTTTGATCACTTGATCAACGATTGTTTTCCATATGCTCCCTTCTAAATCAATTGAAGCCAACCAAGCTGGATCTTTAAAAAAAATTCAAGAGTACACTGAAGATTTCATAGCGTGGCATTACGACAAAAATAATTTTCTTCGTTAAATCTGCCTATAGATTAGCAGTGGATAGCACAGCCCGTGAATCTCTTGCCGGACTAACTTCCTCCTCAAGTGCGGATGAAAACTTGGGTGGTTTCAATTGGCCAAATTTATGGGCGCTACACCTCCCGGACTACCACTGCAAAGGAAACTATAGTGCAGAGGTATGGAATTTGCTGCCCTCTCTGTTTTAGGCCGGATGAGGATGCCGGGAGCTGTTTTGTTAAATGCAAGAAGGTAAAGGAGGTGTGGAGGAAAGCTATGTTGGAACATGTTAGACTATAACTAATTAATTGCAACGATGCCATGAGCTTCATGGATACAATTTTGAGCTCACACGAGGAAGATAAATTAAAACATGCATACTTCTTTGGCGTTGGTGGCACCGGAGAAATAGGGCAAACATGGGAGATTCTATAAAAACTTCTGATGAGATATGCTCCTCAATTAATTACCATGCCATGAATGTTTTGAAGGAGAAGAAAAGAGAAGGAAAACAGAAGCAACACAGTACAGAGAAATGGTCCTGGCCTCCACCCGGAACCTTGCAAGTTAACACAGATGGTGCGTTTCAAAAGGTTCAAGTGCTGGGGGGGGGGGGTGACTAGAACACCCGACGGTGGGTGCGTTCATGACGCACTGCCGGCGAAACACGGTGCTTGTGACGGTTGCGCGGGCGTGCCGGTGCTTACATGGTCGCTGGTGTTCGAGCAGTTCATCACCAAGAGGCTGGTCATGGAGATCCTCGGGATCGGAGAGAGGTTATGGCCTCATGCCACCGACATATGAAGCACGACTGTAAAGGACACCCTACCCTCTCGTCTCGTCGCTCCCGCGAGCTCCCCTTCTCCCTGTCCCCGATCCTCCTCCTCACTGTCATCCCCTCACCGTTGTCGGGCGAAGCCTAGCCGTGTCTGTGGTGACTGGGACTCCTTCCCTCCTCGAGTGGCGGTGGCTGCCCGGGTAGCACCGGCTAGTAGGAGAGCCGCGTGCAGGACAGTGGTGGGACTGTGCGGGGCAACACTGGTGGCACGATCACCCGTCGAGGCCAGGGTGGCTGCTCGGTGGCTGGTGCATGGGGGCGATGGTGGCGTGCCAGTGGAATAGTGACAAGCGGGATTTGATATGTCTTTGACCTGTAATTTTTCATTGTTTCATGCTATTATCATACCACTTTTACATACTTTTGACAATAATTTGTATTATTTTTATTTAGACTAACCTATTAATCCAATGCCAAAGGCCAGTTCGTGTTTTATATTGTTTTGGGGTTATTAGGTGAAATATTCATGGAACCAGGATGTCCTAAATATTTTTGTCATTTTTATGAGAAGTATTGGATTTTTGGGCGAAGGAATCAGCATAGGTGGTACACGAGGGCGTGACATGACCTAGGGACGCGCCAAGGCCCTTGGCCGCGCGAGGGGCCCGTGTGGGGGCTGTGAATGTTGGTTGGAGCTCTTCTTTTGTTGTAAGAAAGCCAATTTTATGGAAAAAATCTCCTTAAAATTTCAATCCAATTGGAGGATCTCTGGACATCTAAGAAACGACACTCATCCGCAGAAACAGCACCGAAGCATAGAGAAACAGAGGAGGAGAGATCCAATCTCAGAGGGGCTCTCGCCCTTCGGGAGCCGTGGAGGCCAAGGTCTAGAGGGGGAACCCTTCTCACATCTAGGGGGAACGCCAAGCAAGAATAAGAAGAAGGAGGGATGCCTCTCCCCCTCTCTCCCGGTCGCACCGGAGCGCTGCCAGGGGAACCATCGTCACAACGATCATCAACATCTTTCTCCCTCTATGGAGTGGTGTACTCTCTCTCACCCTATTGTAATCTTTACTTGAACATGATGTTTATCACTATATATTATTATCCGATGACGTGTTGCATCTCTATCATGTCCGAGTAGTTTCTATTTGTCCCATGGGTTAATTGTGATATGCTATGCTTGATATGAGTTGTATGTTATTATGGCGTTTTACTATGATGCCTACTGTTTTGCGCACACGTGTGGGACTCCCGTCGTAGGGTGTTGCAATATGTGATTGATTGCTTATGGTGGGTAGCTGGAGTGACTGAAACCAAAACCCCAGTGCATGAGTTGTTGCATATGGGATTAAAGGGGACCTTAGATCTTAATACTATGATTGGGTTTTATCTTACTTAATCTTTGGTATTTGCGGATGCTTGCTAGAGTTCAAATCATAAGTACTAGTAGTCAATGTATTTTGCTACTTGTTAGTGTAGGCCTCTCCTGCATAAAAGACCGCAATAGAGGATTATCACTATTGTTTCATATCCAATTGCCTAGGGACAATCATTTTCTTTATTGTTCTTTAAAAACCCTTCTATTTGTTGTTCTTTTATTTAGATGATACCCAACTTTTATTTCCAAGTTCTTTATCTTTTTGTAAAGTTATATTTTCATTCCCGTAAAGTAGTTTTATTTGTTGTACTAGGTAAAGCAAAAGCAAAAATTTGGTGTGCGTAGAGTTGTATCAGTGGTTGATAGAATTTGAGAAAATATTAATTCTACCTTTAACTCATTGCTGGGTTCGACATTCTTACTTATTGAAAAGGCTACAACTGACCCCGTACACTTGTGGCTTACCAGGGTTGAGTGTGGAGCGCCGGATTGGTGGCGGCGTGCATTGGTGGGGAGTGCGCCTCCTGCCCTATGGCGGGTGGCCGGCTCGCATGATGCAGTGCGTTGTCCTGGCCGCGGGGGCATCGGATCGGCGTCGTGCGTGGAGCTGGTTCCAGGTGCTCCTCCAATGTCCCTTGGAGCCACTCTGAAGATGGCGATACCCCTCGCTTCTCGTCCCGTCCTCTCGTCCTAGAAGCAGGTGACCTTCATGCGCCTGGATCTAGTGGCAGCTGGGGCTCTTGATCGGGGTAAGTCCTTGGTCGGTGGTGGCGACCATGGTGCCGGCGAAGCTTCAGGCATCGTTCCCTTTCTTGTTGGCGGCACTGAGATCCTCCTTCTGCCCTCCACCTACATACCCCAGGTGAAAGCCTAAAATTATCAGATTGTGCTGCGACGGTGCTCCGGCGTTGTTTTTTTTCTTGAAGGCACCACCTTGGGACGGTGGAGGTGATGGTCGGGGCTGCGACGCGGGTTGTGGGTGTTCTTGAGTGGTGTTCTCGCTCAGCGGCTTGCGGTGGGAGTCATGATTCCTTTCAACGATGGTGATGTGGCTCGGGTTGCGGCTCTGCGAG